AAAAGAATGCCCAAAGGGGTTTTAGGAATTTGAATACCCAGAATGTCTTCTATCTTCGAAATTATTTTTGACCAGTATTCCTGTATTCTTGGACATGACCACCAACAATGAAAGATTGATCCAATTTGCCCACAACTCTTCCAACACATAGGGTCCTTCAATATTTTTGAATGCAACAATTTAAGAGGAGTCATATACCATCTTGAAAAAATCTTATAATTTTGATAACGTAAATTTAAAGCTCCAGTAGTATATAAACCCGAATTCCATTTTTTATTCCATTGTTCCAAAGAAAGATCCATCTCAAGGTCTTTATGCCAGGCAAGTTGTTGTGCTGAGATCTTAGACCATTGTAAAAATGCCAAAGACTTATATAAAATAGATATAATTCCCTTTTGTTCCATCAATTTTTTATGAATTATAGTCTCAAAAGCCGTCAATGGGCGATTTGAATTCTCTATTATGCCATCTGCGGCGATCATATGAGATAGTTGTTGCTCTTGAAACCATGGGATTTCTACATTGTATTTTTCTACCATATGTTCCCTAGTCCATTTTTTCCCTTGAAAACATAAATCTCTAATTCTAAATTTCCCCACATTTCTCCAGTTGTTATATGTATTCACCCCCTATCCAGGGGGAAACCAAACCTAACCTTAAAAAGCCACTTTTGGGAAAATACCCGGAGCCAATACTTCTCTATTTTTATCCCACACCTCTAAAGTAATTCTCAAAAATTGATTTTCCCTTATTGATTTAGGTCTATCAATAGGTGAGGCCCAAAAGACTTCATGTAACAAATCAGGGGAAGTATAACTTTTCTCTATTTGGACCCAGGCTTTCCCAGAATCTGAATGGGTATACAATAATGCATTTTTCAATACTGCTGCTTCATAATATAATTTTAAATTAGGCACTCCCTGCCCTCCCTCTTCCAAGGGTCGTGTGAGCAATCTAAAATTTATTCGAGGATTTTTCTTTTGCCACAAAAATTGAACCAACATTCTCTGCCACTCCTGAAAAACTGGACTTTTTATATTAATAGGTAAATTTTGAAACAAAAACAAAAATTTAGGTAATATTGTTTTTATCAATTCTATTTTTTCAAAAAAGGATAAAATTATCCTTGACCATGAATTTAACATATTTTTATTAAATTTATTAATGGTTTATAATTATAATCAAATAAATCATTCAAATCTAATGGGACATATATCCCTAAATGTCTCCAGGATTTCAGTACCCATTTAAAGGGAAATTTATTTATAATTTCCTGTCTTTCTATCTTATTAAGATATATTGGAAATAATTCTGTTTTTAAATAATTAATAGTAAATCCAGAAACTTCATGAAAATCATTAAGCTCCTTTTCTATATAACTCAAAGACTCAATTGGATTGCTAAAATATATCACTGTATCATCTGCAAAAAGACTTATCTTATGTATTTCTGAAGATATTTTTATACCTTTAATAAAAGGATTATTTCTAATTGCATAAGCTAAAGGTTCCAATGATATTGCAAATAAAATGGGCGACAACGGACAGCCTTGACGTGTACCTCTATTAATTTTTACCTCTTCTGATCTATATCCATTTATATTTAATTGGGCTGTAGGTGAATTATATAATGAATCTATAGATCTCAAAAATTTTTGTCCGAATTCCATATGAGCAAGTATTATTTTCAAATAGTTAATTTCCAATTTATCGAATGCCTTTTCGGCATCCAAAACCAATATGGCCGAATTTATTTTATTTTGTTTACAATACTGTATTATATTGATCAGAGTGTATGTAATTAGGCATTCTAGTATTTAAACGATGGGCCATTACAGATGAAAAATTTTTGAAATCATGGTTGAGAATAGAAATAGGGTGATAAGAGTCAGGCTTTGATTTATCCTTTCCTTCTTTAGGCAATACAATTATTCTAGCCTCTTTCCATGTATAAGGCATTTTTCCTGATGTTAATAAGTGATTGCAAGTAGCTGTAATTTGCTCTATAATTAACGGTTTGAATTTTTTATAGAATTCTATAGGGAAACCATCCCTCCCTGGTGCTTTATTATTTTTTATTCTAGCCATAGCTTTTGCAATCTCTTCAGATGTTATAATTTCATCTAAATAGCTTTGATGTTCTTTTGTAAATTTAACATTATACCCTATAGATTTAACATAATTTAATACCTTATTTTGATCAATATTATCTGATTTATATAAATTTTGATAAAAATCAACAAATCTTTGTATAATATTTTTGTAGAAAAGATCAATTCCCCTTTGAGACCTTTCAAATTATATATTTGAGATGCTAAGTGTTGTTGCTATACTTTATTTTTTAACCATTTGAATGATGTAGGGCTTTTTGTAACATATCTTTGTTTTAAAAACATCAGATTTTTCTGTACTGCTGATACTTCAATTACCTCAAGTTTCTTTCTTTCCAATTCCAATTTTTTAAAATATTTTTCACCCATACCTCATGTGTTTTTTCTCTAAGAAAGTGATTTTTTTTAAAATCTTCTATTAACTTATTCCTTTCTTTTTTATAGGAGGTTGCTAAAGATATTAATTTCCCCCTCATCACTGCCTTGAACGCATCCTACACCACTTCTTGTGCTACTTCTCCATTGGAATTAATTCTAAAATATTCTTCAATGTCTTTTGCAATTATTTCCTGTATAGATTCTTTTTGTAATAACATCTTGAGTGTCCAATTTGGACCTTTATTGTCATATTCTGTATCTTTTACCGTACATGTTACCCACGCATGAACCGAAATTATACGGTTTCCTATTTTTGCAGAACTTATACTATGTAATAACTTTTTTGAAACAAAAAAAAGTCAGTTCTTGTATACACATCATGTACTGTTGAATTTTGGAGGTCGGCATGTCCTGTTCTTTCTGGCCCTTTTCCCCCGGAAAATAAGCTGTTACTGTCTGTGAAGATTTTGGAGTACTTTTATCTCTCGAACCTCCTGCTTTTCCCATTACTTTGGTATCTTTTTAATCCGTTTTTTATGAGTTTTTAGCCTGGAGGGGAAGGTGCGATACAGAGCGGCTCCTTTATGCGTCCACCATCGGTGTTGCTGCGCATGCGCCCCTCATTCATTTTTTTAACGACCACCACACCACTGACTGTAGTAATTTAGTATTTTATCTTTCATGTCTTATTATAGTTTTTGTTATAGTAACACTTCAAAACGGCAGTATGCTTAAAAAACCCCACACTTTACAAGATTCTTAAGTGTAAGGATATGTCACTGGTGACCAAGATCAAGATAATTCAAGACATAGTATTCCCTAGCTGAACTGCAAAGAATATGTATTTTTACAAGAACCATAACATTTTAGAGACTGGTTTAAGCGCTACAGATTTAGAAAGTATATAAATGGAAAGAAGTATGGAAACAAAGGTTTAAGATGGAAATTGTATTGTAACAGCTATTATTTAAGCTCAATGGAAATTCCCTTGCTGTCTTATCCCCTTCCCCATGTCCTCCCCTCCCTAAGTGTCTTATATATTTACTGAAAATCAAATACAGGGGTTTCCCCATTTCTATGTATGGGTGAGAAAGCTGGGCAATGAAGAAAGTTGGTTCATTTGAAATGTGGTGTTGGAGGAGAGTTTTACAGATACCGTGGATTGCCAAAGAGACAAATAAGTGGGTTCTAGACCAAATCAAGCCTGAACTCTCCCTAGAAGCTAAAATAACCAAACTGAGGCTACCGTACTTTGGACACATTATGAGAAGACGAGTCACTGGAAAAGACAATAATGCTAGGAAAAGTTGAAGGCAGCAGGAGCAGAGGATCCAACATGAGATGGACTGACTCAGTCAAGGAAGCCACTGCCCTCAGCTTGCAAGACCTGAGCAAGGCTGTTAATGATAGGATGTTTTCAAGGTCATTAATTCATAAGGTTGACATAAGTTGGAAGTGACTTGACAGCACTACACATACACACAGGCAGCACCCTTAACTCTCAATTTTGTTGTCAAAGTTGTCTTCACCTTCCAAAACTGCCTCCTACCAAGTAATCAACTAAAACTGTAGTGGCTTAATTTATTGATTAAATCTCACATGTTTAAGTATTGCAAGTATTTATTGATTAAATCTCACATGTTTAAGTATTGCAAGTATTTGCATATTGCCCAAGGAGACTTCACCCAAAACCAGGAATCTTAGCCATGAATGTTTGCTGTAAGCACTTGTCAGTTATGAGTGCCTATAACTATACCCAAGAACATACTGTCTGCACCCCAGATATCAGTGTAACAAGCTATGACACAAATGTATATAACTAAAAAAGCTGCATTTGAGACCAGTGTTCCCTCTAAGCTGAGTTAGTGTGAGCTAGCTCACAGTTTTTTAGCCTCCGGCTCACACATTTTTGTCCTAGCTCAGGAAGGATGGCTACAGATCAAACTAATTTATGCAGTAGTCAAATTGCTCGCTCACAGCTTTAATGCCAGTAGCTCACAAAAAAAGAATTCTTGCTCACAAGACTCCACAGCTTAGAAGGAACATTGTTTGAGACCAAGAAGACTGGGGCCTGGATCCAAAAGTAGAAAAAGCAAAACACCCTATCAAAGCAAATCCTGCACGGGTCTCAAGATGGATCGCACATGTACAGGCATACATGTTCCTAATCCACACAGGGTACTAACTTCTCGCCACAGTGCTTCTAATAAAACTTAGTGCCGGCGAGGGCCGTGACTGATTGATGATCGATGAAAGTAATAACTTTCCCTGGAGAAATATGAACATTCGCCCAGCAGAAATAACTTCGGTTAATAGCCGAGACTGGTTACAACGCCATGCCAAAAAGACGGGAAAGACCTGCAGCGCTATTAAAGGAGAAAGGACGCACTCTCGCGATCTGGTGGGAGACAGGGGTGGGGGAGGCGTAGACGACACGCCCAGGCAAGTCCCGTGTGTGTGTGTTTGTGAAGGAACCACGTGGCAGTGAGTGACTCATTCTGTGGACCTTTTGGAGAACCCGCAGGCCATTCTGGTCCCTGGTGCTCGCCCTTGATACTATTTTAGCACTTGCTTCGACCCATCGCTCGCCGTTACTAGCCAGTTCGGGCTCGGTCCAGCATGGAGGAAACACGTCGCTCCCTCTTCAGCCTCGCCACCGTTTGCTGCCTCCTCGCGGGAGCTCTCCTGCCGCTACCAGGTACAGGGGTTACCTATCCAGGCGCTCCAGAATGGGGTCAGGGCGGGGTCCTCTTGGGGCAGGAGACCGCCAGCATCTCAACCCTTCAGACTCCCCATACGCGGGGCATGCCCTCACAAGGGAAAGTGCACCCGGCTCGCCAGCCTTTGGCGGTAGTGCGCCAGGCTCTTGAGGTCTGCTTCCTGGGAGCTTCGGCTGTTCCCGCCTTTCGGCCCCGGTAAGCCAGTCTCTCCCCTCCCCGAAAACCACTGTCTTGCCTGCTACCTTCCCGCTTCCACCTCACACATCGACGAAGAATTTTTTCCTTAAAGCGCAGGGGCTTTCTTTAGAGGGGCGGCTGAAAAGTTTCCGGCGTGAGCGCTGTTGTGTCTGGGTCGACGTGACGCCTTTCCTCAGGACGCGCCCCGTATTCCCCTTCACAGGGTCGCATTGGGATCTTGGAACCTAACCTGAGTGCGCTTGTGGATTTGTAAAAGGAAACGTGCCAGGTCATCATGAACCTGTGTCGAAGCCGCCTCTCCGATTTACAGGTCAAGCGCTGCCTCGGGGCAGTATTTGCAGAACTGATGTGGTCAGCGGCGCTACCCTCGTGTTTTGCTATTGGGGCTTCACAGATTCCGAGTAAAAGTGTTGGCATTCGACACGCGTTGGGGTTTAGCCCTGGATTATATTTAGCCCAGCATGATCGAGTAGGTCTCATTTCCCCATCTTCCCCGAGGCTAGTCGCTGTGCCTGATTGAGCCCTAGTAGTTCTGCTCCTGGTTAATCGGCATCTCTTTTAAGCACTGTGCTTGCTGGAGATTGTTCATGACTTCGTAGTGGGAGCGGAGATCATGCTTCCTTTCAGAGGGACAAAAGGAGTCTTCAGAGACCTCCAGTTTCCTCCCAGGGTTCTAGAACTGAACCTTCCTGGGTTTAGCACTGTACAGTTGGTTTTTTGAGGCACTTTTCATCAGTCTAGGCTCACTTCTGGTATTGGAGCTGGCTGAGGACTTTGAGGATTGGAATGGGGTGGCAAACCCTAGAAAGGGAAACATTTCTGCATGTATCACTCAAGTGCCCCTTTTGCTCTCATAATTGGACCCCACCCACCCCTCTTGACATAACTGGGGAAGGCCCTTGTAGGAACCTATGCATGCATTAGCCCTAGCAGTATTTGCTAAGGCAAATAAAGAACTAATGAGCCAGCTTAATTAATCCTTTCTTTTGTTTAATTTTTCTGAAATAATTTTCAGTGTTTTTAATAAAAGTTTGTCCAGTGAGGCTGAACTCTTGTTTTGTGAAAGGGACAGCTTATCTTTCCAGGTATACAAAGGGCTATATGCCCAGATAAACTACGGGGACCTTGGAATTCAGGCTGCCATGGTCAGGGGTGCCTTAGACCTTAAAAGAGTACTTTCCCATATAATATCCTATTTTGAAATATCCAGGGGTTCACAGCATCCTGGAGATAGCAGCTGCCAGAAATAGAGCTTGCTAGCTGATTCACTGCCCAATCCTGTACCTGTTTACTATTCAAAAGAAGAGATACTTCTATGCAGCATTAATTGACATGAGGACAGTATTTGCTTCTGTAAATAGAAGAAACTCAGAGACAAATCTCAGTTGTAGCCCACTTTACTAGCTAATAGTATCTATACAGGTACATCAGTGAGAACTAGAACTGCACTTAGAAGACAATTTTCTGAGCCCTGTCCTAAGCCCTGCCCCCAAAAGGCTTCTCATGCAGTTCAGCTATATTGCCAGCTTATCTGGTGATACGTTAGCACTAAGCCCTGCTGGCACACCACGGGTATAACCATTACACCTGGTGACGTTAGGGCATGTCATGAGTGGAGCAGGATGTAGCTTCCTAAGCCCCTCCAGTCCTAGATAAGCCTCGGGTACAACATTGTGCCACCAAAAACATTGGTGTAGCCCTCAGATCACTCCCACAGAAGACCTTGTAAGAAGGGGGGGAAACTTCTGCCCACTCCCAAGCATTGGTGCAACTTAGGAGGCTAATCACACCCGTCTTAGAAGACCATAACAGTGTCCCCCCTGCCATACTCTGCACATCCCAGGCATAACATCCATAGCTCAGATGCTAGGGCACATAAAGTAAAGTAAAGGTTCCCTTGCTCGAAAGCCAGTCGAATCTGACTCTAGGGTTGCGGTGCTCATCTCCGTTTCAAAGCCGAAGAGCCAGCGCTGTCCGAAGACATTTCCGTGGTCATGTGGCCGGCATGACTAAACACCAAGGCGCATGGAACGCTGTTACCTTCCCACCGAAGTGGTACCTATTTATCTACTTGCAATTTCTTGCTTTCAAACTGCTAGGTTGGCAGGAGCTGGAACTAGAGACGGGAGCTCATTCCGTCATGCGGCACACTTGGGTCTCGAACTGCTGAACTATCGACCTTCCACAGCCTGCAGTGCAGCGTCTTAACCACTTGAGCCACCGCAGCTCCTGCTAGGGCACATAGCTTGAGACAATATGTCTCTGGACCCTGGCTTACACACTTAAAGCACATTGGTGGATCTACTAACTCTCATGCTCCAGCCCAGCTCCTGCACCATCACAAGATACTCAGATGGTGTTTTGGCTGGCACCGTTTTCCCTTTCATGGGTGTGCAGTGATTTGGACAGGTCTGCTTGTTCCTCTGTGATCTATCAGTGCAGCTTGCAAAGGAGCAGGATCTTTAGAGAGCCAGTTTGGTGTAGTGGCTAAGTGTGCGGACTCTAATCTGGGAGAACTGGGTTTGATTCCCCACTCCGCCACTTGCACCTGGCTGGATGACCTTGGGCAAGCCGTAGTTCTGATAAGAACTGCTCTTGAAAAAGAGCAGTTTCTGTTAAGCTCTCTCAGCCCCACCTACCTCACAGGGGAGGGGAAGGGAAGGGAAAGGAGTTTGTAAGCCGCTCTGAGACTCCTTTGGGTAGTGAAGGGTGGGGTATAAATCCAATCTCTTCTTCTTCTTTACTAGAATGAGGGAGTTGGCAACCCCATTCATCTGACTTGGTTTCCTGGTGCTGTTCAGTAGCTGTGGATTACTGTACAGCAGGGGTGTTGAACTCATTTGTTGAGGGCCGGATCTAATATAAACGAGACCTTGTTGAGCCAGGCCATGTGTGTCATAAAATGTAATGCCAGGTAGCAGAGATATAAACTTTATAAAGGACACAAACACAATGAAAGATTTTTTCAAACTTTAAATAAAACATGCTTAAAACACTAGCACTCTTGCAATATTTTGTTTATGTAACAATCTCTGATAACTGACACCTCTTGCTCTGAATTATTTCATCAAAATATGCTGTAGCAATCTTGAGTATGTTGTTCAGGTGTGTATCTGTAAGCTGCAAACCTACTTTTGATTTATTGACATTCATTGCAGAAATCTCATGCTCAGTGTTTTGAACCTAGGACCCAGGGAAAAACATGAAATGGCTGGGCATTGCAAGCTTTTGTACATAAATATATTCGTGTTCTAGTGAAGATCATGAGAAGGCATTCCCAGTCTACAAAGGAAATTTGCTGGGTGAACTTGGTCTGGACACACACAGCGTAATCCACCTCACTGGTTTGTTGTTATTCGTCATCTAAATAGTTCACATTGCTTTCCTACTGAGAAAGACTGGATCATGAGGGCATGAATACAGTGAAAAAGAGGAGGGGAACCCAGTTGAACCCAGGCATAACGAGCCCAACGACTCTCTCTCTCTCTGTAGCAAGGCAAAAAGCTCATGCCTTGAATAAAACTTTGTTGGTCTTAAAGGTGCTTTGTATTTCTCCTGTAAGATTGAGGCAGCTGAGCAAAGCAAAGCAGGAGGAAGGGGAGGAGCCTCAGCCAATGGAGGGGAAGAAAGGCTTGCCTTTGTCTCCTGTATGATTGAGGCATCCTGGCCTGGAAGCAAGCTCTGGCTCATTCCCTCTCTTCCCTAGGAGGAGGGGAGGAGCTTCAGCCAGAGCAGGGAACAGAAGCTTGCCTATGTATCTGTCTATCTCTCCTGTGTGATTGAGAGAGTCTGGTAAAGCCAGCTGTGACACAGCAGCAGCGGAACTGGAGAAAGAAGCAGGAGACAGCCAGTTCCTTGTGGGCTGGATAGGAGCCATCCGAGGGCCTGATCCGGCCCACAGGCCACATGTTTGACACCCCTGCTCTACGGCTGTGTCTCTGTTTGATTGGGGTTTGACAGATTAATTTGTATTCCCACTCACTTCTCATAGCTAACCTCTGCTATCTACATCAGGTAGGGGCTGAAGGGTGGTCTGAGGGTCACAGGTATCCTCTTGCAAATTGGAGGGGAAAGGTCACATTCTCTGTACATCACTGGTAGCATCTGATAAGCCAAACAGCTTGCATGGGGGGAAGTGGAGATGTATGGAATGTACTGGAGCAGACAGTGGTAATGAGCCCCAGAGTGCAGGTGGGAGATCTTATGTGAGGGATCACCAGACAAAAAAGGTGAGCATGTGGGCTCCATCCCCCATTATTATGTCTGATAGGGCAAACTTCTCGTCTGTGTGCCGGGACCCAATGGGTCTGCTTCAGAGCCCTCTTCATGTGGGACGCAAACCAGGGTATGCAGTATTTGGGTCTGCCCATTGAGTCCACCTGTCTCTGTGGTTTTCCCCACACTGCTCTGTGTGGGTGTGTAAGGATCAAGACCTATAAACGTCAAGGCTTCCTTTAAGTGATATCAACCTGTAAGTTCACACAGGTCAGTGCAGCCTGTTCAGGCCAAGCATTAATTAAAGGCACCTGGTGGCCTTGACAGATACCGGAGAGTTTGAGGAGGGCTGTCAGAGGGCACGGCAGGGTGTCGGAGAAGGCTCTGAATAAAGCGTGAGAGAGCTTCAACCCGAATGTCAAGGACTGCTTCTGTCTGAATGGACTCTGTGCCTTAAGCTTATGGGTGAGGTGAGGAATTTTTGGATAGCCTTACCGAGGGGAGCCTGTAAGCAGCTGGAGCTTCAGAGCCCAGGGTGCTGTCCAGCATAAGTGAAGTATTACTG